TTTATAATAATAATTATTATTATTATTATTATTATTATTATTATTATTATTATTATTATTATTATTATTATTATTATTATTATTATTATTATTCCTTTTTCCTTTTTTTCTGGGTTTGATATTGATTTTTTATTATTATTATTAATAATAATAATTATTATATAATTATTACTATTATTAACAATAATAATTATATTTTTATTATTATTATTATTATTAATAATAATAATATTAATAATAATAATGATAAAAATAATAAATTAATATCAAACGTTTAAAAATCATTTAAATATTTTTTTAACTTAGGCTACATTTAAACAAAACACGTGCTGCTCCCAGAAAAAATGAATAAAATAAGAATAATAATAATGATAATAATAATAATAATTATTATTATTATTATTGTTAATAAAAATAATAATAATAATAATAATAATAATAATAATAATAATAATAAATCAATATCAAACGTTTAAAAATCATTCAAATATTTTTTTAACTTAGGCTACATTTAAACAAAACAAAACTATTAGATATAATGAAATAATTTCGAATATCCGGATGGAGGTTATTCCACAAATTCACAAATCTAGTTGGAATTGAAAATTTCGAAGAGTCAGTTCTAGATTTTAAATGTTTAAATAATAAAAGTTAAGGATGACGATTATTAATAATTAATTTTAAACTCGCGTGGGAGGAATAACTTAATCGATAAATATTGAATAGGCCTATAATACTAAAACACTGTAGTCACTTAATTTTTTAAAAGACATAAAATTTCAAAGTGTCTAGTTTTCCCACAAAAGATTGTTTTAGAGTTTTTGATTATAATTATACTATTATTGCTTGCTGTTATTTTAATTCGTTAATACAATGCTCATAGTGGAATACGGGGCACAATTATCAATTCATCACATAAATGCCCTCCAGTACGTCCCGCTATTTTTACAACGCCTTTAAATTTTACAGCCAGCCTGATGGTCAAACATTATGTTTCCCACCGATTGACTATGGTTATCTTTATAAATGCGAGTTCTGCATATTTTTTTTTTTTTAATCCTAAATTTGTTTTTTATGCTCATCGTTTAGAAATATTTTGCCAGGGCAAACATCATTTCTCACTTGAAGATTTGCACACAGATAGTTAGTAGTACTGTACCCTCTTATACAGGTTCTTCGTAGTACTGTTCTCTTTACTATGTCTCAATTTCTATATGACAAACTGATGTGTGACATGTCTTAGGCCCAACTGTATAAATTTATATACCTGCAATGATGACATCATAAGTGTATGTCGACGAACGACGCATTGCCTGTTATGAGATATAATTAAATTAAACCTTTAATTCCATATCTATATTCTTCACATGTGAATTTGTAATTAATTTTTATTAACTTTAAAGTAAGTTCGAATGAGAAAAAATATTTCCCGATATTAAAAAGTAAATATTAACTTTCCTGTATTCAATTATAGATCCTGTAATTGACTCAATTATCTTTATATTTATTATAACATTGCAAATTTCAATAATAGATTTAACAAGGCAGAGCCCTCAACCGATGGTATTGTTACAACTAAAACTGTCTTTCAAACTGTCGGTAAGGATTACAGCATATGGGAGGAGCAGAAAGATGTAGACGGTATGATTCTATAAATAAGAAACTTGATGTACACCGGTAATGTCGTTTAACAACCTTCAGAACATTTTTAAATATTTACAATAAATACTTAGGCCTCTTTTGATAATTCAATTTGATATATATTTTTTTGATAACTTCTCATTGCTGTGCCATTCTACAGAGATTGAACGAACTAAACAGATACGCGAACACGCTATCGCTACGAATGTAGCAAAGACGTTCGATTTCACTGCTTCTACGTCCTCATCTGATCGTGGAAGGATAGCATTTCCATCTACGTCCGCATCTCCTCTCGAAGGAACATCAGCTGCATCTGTATCAGAAATTGATCCCAGAAAAATGTCATCTTTATCCCCTGTGTTTATCAGACGGTTTAAAGGTAGATATTTATTAATGTTAATCTAGTTTTGCTCGACTTGGGTTTGTTTTTTGTATAAGTTGTGAGTACATATGATCCATTTCTTTTTATTGTTTTTGTTGCGTTCAGTGGCGTGACGATGCCGTCGGGGCCCTGTGGCTTTCTGAGACTGGGCCCCACAGTGTTGGCGC